GATGATGAGAAGATGGGCTGAGCAAAGCTGGAGTGGGGCTGTGGGGGATGACTTCAGTGTAGGCACCCAACCAGGACTGGGTCAGGACTGGCAGTCAAGTGCTCAGGTCTGCTGACGTCACCAACCTCCGTGTCTCCATCCCTTCTCTTTACCCCACCCATCCAACAGACTCCTTCTGAGAACTTCCATAGCCCTGTGTCCAGCCAGGGTGCCAGAGAGCACCCGCAGACTGGGTGTGCTGCCCTAGATGGGCTCACAGCCCAGTGGGGGAGCCAGAACACTGTGGGATCCATGCTTTGAGAGGGCGTCGAGGGATGTGGGAGCCCGGAGGAGGCACTTAATAGGGTGACCGTGTGTCTTGGTTTGTCCAGGACAGGCGAGGTTTGTGGCTGGGTAGACTGCTCCATGCCTGTTAATTATTCTGACTTAATTATATTTGAGCTGTCACTCTCAAAAGTGTCTGGGTACGGACAATCAGGATGGCTACATTACACCTAACTCAGGCTGGGGGCTCAGACAAGGCTTCCCAGGGGTGGGGCCTTTGGATCACGCTGTCAATTTAGGGGCAAGGACAGTGCAAGAGACCTGGGAGCTGCGGGAGGTTGGGCCTAGGCGTTTCTGAAGGTGGGATGGTGGAGTGGGGAGGCAGGGCAGACCACGGGTGAGGTGTCCCCGGCCCCTGCTCCTCAACGTTCTCATCCTGGGCCCCTGTCCCACCCAGGCCTCCACAGGCTGCTTCATCTTTCTCTGCACTGCAGCCACAGGCGTCTTTCTGAACACATCACTGTCTGGCTTGAACACTCCAGGGCTTTCTCACCCCCCATGAAGTGCCCTCTGCTCTGCAAATCGTTCCTCGGGACCTCCCACTTTCCCACACCCCCACCAGGCAGCTTGCTCTGCCTGCCAGCCCCTCCCTTCCTCCCCACCTGGTGGGCTCCACTCTCAAGCCAGCTGCAATACCACCTTCTCCCCCAAGCCTTCCAATTGTACTCCTCCAGCGCTTGTGTCCTCGGCCCCCCGCAGACCTAGAGGCCTCCAGTTGCAGACGCCGCCCCATGTCACCTGGACCTCTTCTCCATCAGCAAGTGGGCACTGGATTTAGCCTGGTTCCCCTGACACTAGGTTTTTCTGTGTCTGGAGGCAGGGCTGTCCCCCCTGCCCCATCCCTTGAGGGCTAGACTCTGCCTGTGCCCCCCTGGGTGCAGCCTGGGTTGCTGTTCTAATCTGGGGGGGAAAAACTCACTCACTGTCCCACCTCACGTATAGGCACGGCCAGGAGAGCCCCCATGCAGTTCACCTGCCAGAGACAAATCAGTGGTTCTGAACACAGGCTCACAGGAAATCTGAGCTGGCCATGCCCTGAGGTCACCCCATTCCTCCCTCTCTCAGCTTCTGTCAGCACAGCCTGGCCAGGGCCCTGTCCTGCACAGCCCTCCCTCCAGCCCAGCCACATCACGGCCAGGCCATCCCAAGTGGTGACCAGGTCCTCCTCTGCCACAGAGCCCACCAGCCTCTCTCCCAGCGGATGGCGCAGTGTGGGGCTCTGTCGCAAGGCGG